CTTCGGCTTCAAGGTTATCACCCTCTAAAACTGATTTCCAAACTTCTTCATTAACATTTAATGGATTATCACCATAAGCTTTACTTTTCAAACGATTAATCAATTCTTTTTCAATTGATTTCTCTATTCTTGCTGCTTCTTCAGCTTTTCTTTCCCGTGTAGCTTCACGTCTTTCAATCTTCTTTTTAATTCCAATAAGTTGAGGTCTTTTAAAATTTTATAAAAGTTGAAATGTATAAACAGATCGAATATTAAAAAAATTATACTTAAGAATATATATCGGATAAGATATTTTATAATAAATATATACCTTTCTTTAAGTTTTAATTTTCTCATCCGTATCAAGTATTGAGTGATTTTGGTTACGCGTTGTTTACATTTATGAATTAAAAAACTTGGCCAATATATTAACTCTTTATCAATCTTTTCATTTCAATACCGTTTAAAATAATTTATTAATAATGAATTAATTCAGGATTAAAAAAAAAAAATTAACGTGAATTATCACACACTTGTTCTAACGCTTTAGCATAATTTTTGGATAACTTAGTTCGTTGCCACATACGTGCTGGTGTATGCGCTCTCTCTATAATTTTTGTATATAAATATAATATACCTATGAAAAAAATCGATTGATGATTTGAAAAAAAAAAAAAAAATTAAAATAATGGATCAAATTTAACGAATTAATTAATACTGATATCCAAAAATTGACAATTTTTTTCAATACCATCTATTTCACGAACAGTCGCGTATCGACTATTTGCTAAAGGACATGATTGTCTATTACATAGTCCTGTAACATTGTATTCATTTCGACAAAGACTTTGTGTTGTAGTTCTAAATAAAATAGAACTTTTTTTTTAAGTACTACATAAAACTTTATTTAAATTGATTAAACTAGAAAATAAATTTACTTGACTTTATAAGAACAAAATTCTTGATTAATGACCTGCCAAATTACCTCGTCGGACATTGCAATTGTGAAAAGCTTAAAGAACGTTAAATTTTTTTTTAAATATGATCTTATGTGAGTACCTTCGTGGTTATAGCTTAAGACAATTTTTGGCCAAAATTAATACTACATCTCAGACAATCATTGTTAATTCTGGTCAGCGACGTAAAATTTTAACAGTTAAGTAAAAATTTCGCACTAGCCAATCAAATTTCAAGATCAGGTGTAACGTTCTGTTCAAACTGCCTTCTGCGCACTAGTAAAAAAATTCCTTTGTTAAAAATTTCGGCAAAAAACTAATAAACGAGCCAATATTAGATAATAACTCTAAATTTAACCTATGAATAGCTAATGGGTTGGGTTGAACTAGTCCTCAACTCATAGCAAGTTTGTCTTATTTGCTGGTGCAAATCAATTGCCCGTTCTTACTGACATAAGTACGTACGTTGTAAAGATCGGGACCGAAACTAGGCTAGGACTCGATCGGAATATGCGTCACGAGGGATCGGGTCTAACCACAACAACACCAATCCCTAAGTGGAAGGCGTGAAAGATTTGGCTAGAGTTATAGGGCTACTATTGGATTCAATATAATCGTTTAGGGTATCGTTGTCGCTTGTGTTGGTTGGTTAGTGTTTGCCAATTTTCCCTCTGACAGTACTTAGAAGGGATTGGATCGGAAA